CTTCCTGAGTCACACAGTTCTCATTCCTTAGTGCAAAGTCCTGGTAGTTGCAGAGGGCTGTAGCCACAGGATAAGAGTTCATTTTATCAATATTTCTTGCCAGCTTGAACTTCAGGTACTAGGATACCCACACCTCTGCACGGAATCTGCCAATTTTATAGGAGCAGGGAACTTGCCCATATTAAACCAACCAGTGCACTCAGCATCCTTTCCATATGTTCTGCTCCTGTCCTGCTTTGGGGGTTTGTTCAGAAACCTTTCTTCCCCGTGTCTCTCATTAGGTTTGCAAGTAGACACTATTCTGACTCATATATCTGTAACTGTCCCAGCTGCTGCACACCGCCCCGAATCCGGCCACGGGGACAAGGGTATGGACGCTCCTTCACCACCGGGCAGGTGAGGTGGTTTTGTCTTCAGTTCTTGGGTTGTAGAAGGCTGACCAAGGAGAAGTGATGGACAGTCAGGAGAAGTCACACCGATATCAATTTAGTTGAGTGGAAATTGTGTCACGTACCTTGTGGTATTATAACTGGATGCCTGGGAGGTAGAATATTGAGAGTCTATCTCACTTTTTTCCCATTCTGGTGGTGGGATGATCACATGGGAACCCAGTTTTGAGGAGGGAGGAATGTGCTTGCATTTCATGGTCCCCATTATTCGAGAAGGCTTGCAAGTACTGCATGTGAGAGCAAAGCCTGCAAGCTCTTCTATTTTCCTCCAGAGATGCCTTTTTAAGAAATGCTCCACCAAGCAAGAAGAAAATTCCAAGTCCTCCTCCTTTGTGGAGCAGGTATCCTGGAACAAAACCTGGGTTGAATGGCAGATCTCTGGTCTGATACCAAACTGGAAAATGGCAATGCCATCATGCAAACGAGGAACTGTTCTGTTCACAAATATCTATGACACAAGCCTTCTCTGTTGAGCTGGGATTGCCAGTCAAAATGACTGAATTTGATTGGATACCAGAAATGTCAGCCAGGCTGCTTTGGCTTAAGACACCCTGGCTGCAATTCTTTGGCCTGGTGCATGGTCACCCTATCTGTCATCTGTGAGTTATTTGCCCCTCTCTGTGCTTGCTTTCTACCGGCATCTGCATGCTCCGCCATCCAGACTGCTAACTTGCATTCAGAGCATTGTACGCACCAACTCATTTTGCAGAATGGCTTTAAGGCTCCGGAGCCAAAATTCACACTTTGCATTTCTGAGATTTCATTTGCACTGCAAGCTGAAAAGAGGAAAGAAAAATTATGTATGAAATCAACCCTGGGATTCATTTTCTATACTGTGTTTTTTCTTATCGTGCTTTGGGGGAAAGAAGGTGAGGGGCATTGATACAAATATTTATTTCTTGCCTACTATGCATTCGCTTTGCAACATCAAAAGGCAGCCCTAGTTGCGAATAAGAGACATTTGGGTCAGAGTTGCTGGACTGTAAGAAGTTCAAAGTGTCCAAATATGTCCAATTAACGTATAGAATTTACTATGACAAGATACGGCAATGGTGCAATGGAATTTCAAAGAAAGAATTAGATACATTGACTGGAATGATGGGTTATGACATCTTGAGATTGGAGAGAAAGTTTTGAATGAATTTTACATTTTCAAACCAATGTACAAATCAAACTCAATTGTCCTTCAGACTTGGCACTTCTCTGAATTTGGCACACACACACATTATATAATATTATATTATTCTAATATTATATTAGGGCAGAGGCAGAATTGCATACCGAAAAAGTATGCATGAAGACATGTGCACAAAATTTATAAAAAATGGGTTGTGATTTTTTTATGCAAAATTCTCGAACTACTGTGGGAGGAGGACAAGCCAAATGTATGCACAGAAAGATGAGAAACAAAATCAAAACTGACAGATTTGCACAAATGAGAGACAGAAAGCCAGCGAGAGCAACTGAAATCAACAGATTCTCCCATCCTAAATGATGGCTAAGTGAATCATGCATAAATCTGCAGATTTCCAAATTCTTAAAATAGGTGCTTTTCTGAAAAATTGAAAGAAACATGAGATAACTTATCTTTTCACAAACCAAAGCAAGCCCTCATTGGTTTGGAACAAGGCTTAAGTTCATCACTGTTACTGGCAATTAACCTTTCACATAGGTTTGAGTGGAATTTAAGTATAATTTGGTACGAATCAAAGCAAAAATTATATTTGCATTTCCTAGCAATCCTAGCTAAACAGCACACCACCAGAATCCAACCAGCCTTTATAAAATAAGACTGATTTGCTTTGAACTTGGAACTTGGAACTGGTTTTGCCTGAATAATCCATTCAAGCTGTAGCTCTTAGCTAATTAATTTAGGGATTCAACCAATTCAAGGTTGCCAATCTAATTTACCCATATACTTAACTTCATTTGTTCCATTGCTAAATCCTAGGATTGAACACAGTTCACTGGGGACGAGTCTTCTGGAACACTGCCTGGCATCATGGGAGTTTGCACTGACTGACTTTACATCTCACCCAAAGGCATGGTTCAATTTAAACACAGTTTGTTGAATAAGCCACGATTGGATTTACAATATTAAACCATCAGCCATAGTCTATGAAATAAATGGTGGGGTTCAGGCAATACACTAAGATGATACCAAACAAGCTACCAGATTTTGACTTAACGTGATGTGAGAAACCAGCAATATGCTTTAGTTGTAATGGTGAATGCAACAGACAGATTTGTGAGAACACAGACCCAGCAGAAAGCCGACACTAGATAGACACACTCTTTGAGGATATACTTGGTAGGACACCTGGAATGAATTGTTGAATGTGTGAACAAATCTGAATCCCCTCCTCTTCACCCTTCCATTGTCTTCCCCTCTTTCCAGATCAATGATGAGTTGAACCATCAGTTTGAGGCTGTATGTGAGTCTGTTTTTGGTGAGGTGGAATCCCAGGCTGTGGAGGCTTTGGATCTGCCTGGTTGCTTCCGCATGCGCAGCCATAGCTATCTGCGGGCCATTCAGGCTGGCTGCTCCCAGGACGATGACTGCCTCTCTCTCTTCACCATGGCAACAACCACTCACCAGCCTGGCCAACCTCTCACCAGCAGCATCCTCAAGCCAAGCACCTGTAAGTACCAAGTAGAACCCATAGGCTGGGGTGAGCAATGTCTCCTGGACCAAATCTACAGCTCAGTAGAAGACCATCTGGTGATATGATGTGATGTGATGTAAAGGAATTTAGAGCTGACCTTGAGGAAGGTATGAGAGAGCCATTAAGGAGGAGCTTGGAGAAGAGATTACACAGTCCAGAGATAGAAAGAACTGTGAGAAAGAAACTCAGAATAACCCCATCTTGATTTTGCTGAGTCTATGATGGAACAGAGAGAAACCTGAACAGTCTTTCAAGTCAGGTCAAGAAGCAGACACTACAGAATTTCTAGGAATGCTACTTTAACATTGTAGGGTAGAATAACAGAATCTTGAAAGCATATCAAGATGTCGTTATTTTGAATTTCTTTCTCACATTTCCTTCTATCTCTGGACTGTGTAATCTCTTGTCCAAGACCTTCCTTAATGGCTTGCTCACACCCTCCCCAAAGTCAGTTCCACATTCATTTACATGTAGTGATATTGCTTCAAGGAGTGGAGCCAAGAATTTTCAACTTGTTTGGGGTCTTCTTTTGCATTTGAGGATGCTAAGGATAAGGATAGGAGCAATTCACCTCCTAGTAGCTTTCCACTACCACTCATTTTTGCAGAGAAAAGGGGGGAAATTGGCAGCTGGTCTCCAGCATGGTGGAACTGCAAATGGGAAGCTGAGCTGGACCCCATATGAAAAATATATTGTCCACTCAGATAGAGGGACTAGTGCATGGAACATTTAGCATTGTCCACACTGGAGGCACACAACCAATGTCACCCCTGCCAAATATTACTCTTTCTAATGTGACAAAAAGGTTCTATTAGTAATACAGGTAACCATATTAACTGTATTTAATTTCAATTAAAACCAATGTTAGCCCCTCCCTCTTCTGTGTTCTGGACCCACCTACTATTTAAAGGGCAATACCCAATATTCTACTCAGAAGTCTAGTGGGGCTTTTAGTCAGAAAAAGATTGGAGGAACCCAGTCCAGTGGAATGATACAGAGTTCCCCATGGTTTTAGGAGGAGGCTTTCTCATAGCATACCTCCAGATACTTGCACTAAGCCTGGAACCAGGTCTACTAACAAACTACCTTACCTCTCACTTTCACTTTCAGGAATGTAGAATTCTATTTATTGTATATAAACATGACTTACTTGTTTTCGTTATGAATCCATTCATATTAGCTTGCATTTGTAGAGGAAAGAATAAAGACAAAAATTGACCAAGTTCTCTGTCCTGGACCAACATTATCCATAAACTGGGTCTGTAAATGTAATGGACAGAAGGAATAACCCTGAGAACAGGAGGAAGAGTCGCAACCAAGACAACAGTCAGATAAAAGAAATCTGAGTCAGAGCAGAAATGTAATTTGAGAAAGCGTCCCAGACATGACCTTCCCTGGTTCTCATGAAGATAAGGAGGAGGAGAGGGAAGCACATTGAGATTTGCAAGATTCTTACTATAACCTTACAATAAAAATAGTATTAGCTTGCATGGTTTTGGTTTTCAGGTCTGGTCTACTTGGAGGGTTGACATCAAGTCTGAATGCACTTCCCCCCTCCCTCTCCTTATCTTCATGGCAACTAGGGAAGGTCATGTCTGAGACGCTTTCTCACATTATATTTCTATTCTGACTCAGATTTTTCTTGTCTGACTGTTGTCTTGGTTGCAGCTCTTCCTCCTGTTTTTCGAGGTTATTTCTTCTTCCCATTGCAGCAAATTATTTCCAAAACCAGGCAGCCGTGGGGCAAGGAGTTTGTGATGCCATGGATACAGCCCAGTACATGCTAATGAGAGCCCAGCCTCCTTTTCAATTGGCCCATTTTGCTTTCCTTTCTCTTCTCTACCCACCCCCCAACCTCCATACAGCTTTTAGTTACCGGAAAGCTCCACCTGCCCTCCCTTCAGGAATCAAAGCCAAGCCCCTCATTGCTGTTACAACCCAAAGCAGCACCGAATCTACCCATGACAGTTTCCTGCCCAGAGAGGTCAACAGAAGCCCATCCTGGGCCAAAGAAGCCACCAAGCACTGCAACTCCACTGAGAGTTTAGAAAGCACCAAGATCACTGCCATGTCTCTGGATCTGCCTTCGGTCCAACCCCGGACTTCCCCCAAACCCTCCACCCTTATCATCAGGACGATTCCAGGGAGGGAAGAGCTAAGAAGTTTGGCTCGCCAGAGGAAATGGCGCCCATCTATTGGAGTTCAGGTAGGTTCAGGACGGCTTACATACTGGAGGGAGGTTGTATCTTGGCTGGGGATAGTTCAACGATGCTCACAGAAGCAAGAAGCTCTGCTTTTGACCATTATCTTACTTTGCTTCTGTTGTCATCAGTGACAACCACAAATGTTGAATGTACTGCCAAGTCTTTGGAGATGTTTGAGGCTCCCTTTGTGCAGCTTTAGCTTCCTCAGCTGCATTTGCAAGGCAAACCACAAAAATGAAAAAATGTTGAGCAAGCCTCAAATAGGTTGAATTTTTTTTAGAAAACCCAAGAGGTTTGGGCTATAGAGAGTATTTCCATCCATCTCACATCTTCATAAAAATGAAATCACATTCAGGCTTTAAGGGTTGCTTGCTATCCCGTGCTTGCTAGACTGTGATTTATACCACCAAAATAGCCAGTGTTGTGATCAGCAAAGAAAGGGATAAGATATCACAAAGACCCCCAAAGAGTGTTTCTAGGGTCATTTCTGTACTACTGACTTGTCTTCACAGCATGACCCATCCATTGTTGAAGTGATATGAAGCCTGTCCACACTACTGTTATTTTGGCATAATGATAGTTGTATGACTCAAGAAGAAGCTATAAATCACTAATGTGGAAACCACATGGGTGTGCTAGAAGACACCCTGGCTATGTTCATATGACACATTGAATCAAGCCCATTGACAGCTGTACTTGCATAGCACGCTAAACTTGAACCTTGGTTAGTTCTTTTGTGGCTTAGTGCAATGGTTCTCAACTGGTGGTGTGCACACCAGAAGTGGAACTTGGAGTATTTTAGGTAAAGCAAGGTAAAAAACTGAAAGTTTATTTAACTCTTAGCCTAAATGATAAATGTAATAATACAATGCCTGTAATGTACAAATGGCCTTCCTGGGGACTTACAATATAGCAGCTTGAGAACCACTGGTTTACTGGCTTGTGTGAACCCATCCTGCATGATTAGTTTATGCTTCAATGTATTATGCCAAACCCCAGAAAATGAGCTAATTCAATGACCAGGCTAAGTGGGTTGTATGAGCACATCCATTGCCCTATCCCATCCTCACTATATGTACATTTCCATAGGAGTTGCACACTAGAGCTTCCTCATAGATAAAGTCCACGTTCATAAGAGGAGGAGGGAGTCTGATATAATTGAGAGCTTGAAAATGAACTAAGTAATTTGACAGCCCCTTCACACCCTTCGGTCCTGTTAATCTGATTGCACAATTGCTTTCTAGATAGCAGCAGAATGTCAGTTCACACAGAATAAAGGGCTTTGCTAGGACAGATATATCATGTTTTTGTTTTCTTAGGCCTCTCACTTTTATCGGTTTCCTGAGTGATTCCTGATAAGGGCCAATGTTTTCCTGATCAGGGTTCTTTTCCCATTGCTTTCCATGGAAGACCTTGGCATTCTTCCTTACCTGTAGCTTTTGCTGTTGTTTTCATTCTCTTTGTTTCTGGAACATTAGCCCCATGTTAATTTGAGGCAACCATACTAGCCAGATTTCAGGGAGACAAGAGTTCACATTTTATAGGTGTCTGGAAAACCTGATGCTTTCCATTCAGTTCGATTCAGTTCAGCTCTCCCACCAGGCAAGTCATTCTCAAGAAGATTCAAGAAGGTGGCAAGTCTCATCTCAGTTTTAAAAAAACCTCAAAGGAAGGTACTTGTAACGGACTGAATAAACATTTGCGTAGTTTACTGACATGTTTCCTCTGAAGAAATCAGGCAGCCAACTGGAGCTAGGAGGCTGGTTTGCTGATAAGCTGCTGCTTCAGAAAAATCAGTAGGGTTAAGCAGTACTTTGGTTTTGAAGGCAAAAGCATGCATCTGGGTGCTTGCATGGCGTCTGTTTGACACTCCTTAAAGCAGCCACATCTTTTCACAGGATGCTGTGATAGGACCTGCAGCTGATCCTAGGAAAAGATGTCTTTGGTTTAAGGACATGCAGCTGGGTATCACGTGAACCATCCAAAGCCTTGTTTTGCCTTCAGAACCAAAGTACGGCACAGCCCTAGACATTAGGGATCTCATGCTCACTGCTGTCAGCATCAACTATTCCCCCAAAGGATAACTTTCTTTGCTTTGGGTGATATCTTAAGAGAGGAGCTGACTGGAGGCCCCACTGAGGAATGCATTTTAATCTCAGTTCAATTTGGATTTGAACCAGGGTGGCCAGAGGCAAAGTTGGGCAAGGATCCCACCTCCACAACAATGCAAAAACAAGGTCACATGCATTGTGACATCACAACACAAGCCCAGGCCTCTCATATTGCATCGCAGTATGTAAGTCAGGGGAGGGGGGTTGTGTCATGATGTCACAGTACATTTCATCAATTGCCCGTATGGCCTTTCTTCAGATGTGATGTTTCTAATGTCTTCATGTCTTACTTTAGCTATTCCAGAAGGACCCAGAAAGTCACCAGAATGGTAGACTGTATAAACCTTTGGGCTGACCCATGTGGGCTCTTCTTGGAATTGTACAGAAAGCATGCAACGGTACTTGATACTTTAGGATCAGGAGAAAGTTACATGGGAGGTCTTGGCTATGATTAAAGCAGCCTTGATGGAGTGCGGTTACCATATTTGGGTGAGCAACTGAGTCTCTCTCTCTGGTCCTCTCACCAACCTACTCAGAAATCTCCCTCTATGCAGTATGGCTCAGAGGATGCACTAACCTCCATCCATTAGCCATCACTTTAATCTTAATTCCTTCCCAGCACTCTTTTTTGCCTAACTTGAGCACCAACTTCTTTCACCAACATCTTTAATCCTGTTTTTTTAATAAAAGAGAAGTTCAGGGATGGACCAAGATCTCTTTGTGAGAAGCCACAACTATTTTGGCCATTCCCTCGAATGCTGATGAGCGAAGAACATTGCAGTGAAAGCTGTTCCCACCATCTTTCTTTTTCTTGGCCCTCAAACCAACAAATGAACATCTAATGTCAAAAATGAAAGCCAAGACCTTAAAATCAGAAGAAAGGAGTTGGAGCATTCTATGCAATCCTTAGACTTTTAAAACTCCTTTGGGGATTTTTTTTTGCTGGCATTTTTCTGACTAAATATATACCTAATCAAATATAATCCTCTCTACTTCTTCTCCTTAATCCTCATCTAATTTATTCTGGTGCCAAAGAAAAATGACAAGAACATTTCTTTGTCTATCCCTTTAAGCATCTGCATCTTCAGAAGAGGTGGATGTCACTAGCAACAAAGATGGAACTCATATGTGGGGTTTGCAAATTCTTATGGGATTGCAGACAATGTCTTAGCAGATTGGGTGAACTAGACTATCCCATTAAGCTATAACATAGTTTATTTGGGCATAAACCGAGGCATTGTATTCTATTAACCATGGTTTAGGATATAATGTATTGTGTGAAATCAACAATAAAGTAGCAGTTTCAATCACTGCATCAAATTAATGCAGAACCTGATGTAGCTAGTTACTGGTCTCCATTGGGTAGGTATAGTCAACCAAGTGCCCTCCAAATAGTTCAATCTCACAATTCTTTGCTGTTGGCCATGCTGGCCAGAGGTGGATGGTGAAGGGCCAAACAACTAGAGGGCTTGTGATTGCCAAGGTGTGCCATGGTACTGTCTGGCTCACTGGTGCAGGAAGACAGTTGCAAAAGCCTTCTCAAGGAATCATGTGCAATGGGGTGATTGTCTTACCTGGTCACTAAACCTGGTCACTAAACCTCAAGGAATCATGTGTGATGCTCACTAAATCTCAAGGAATCATGTGTGATGGTGTGATTGTCTTACCAGGTCACTAACCCTGCTTGCAAAAAACCTTACTAGGTTTTTTGCAAGCAGGTTTAGTGACCAGGTAAGACAATTGATCACCTCTGACAGTGAGAAACTCAACATGCAAACCCGTCTGCCATGTTTCCTGCATTTACTTCTAACCAATTCAATACTAAAGAACCTGTTTGATGTAATGGTGAAGGCACCAGGCTAGAAACTGGGAGACTGTGAGTTCTAGTCCCACTTTAGGCACAAAGGCAACTGGGTGACCTTGGGCCAGTCCCTCCCTCTCAGCCCTAGGAAAGAAGGAGGCCATGGCAAACCACTTCCGAAACCTTGCCGAGAAAACTGGAAGGACTAGTCCAGGCAGTCACCAGAAGTCAAGGCTGACTCAAAGGTACAAAAATAAATTCAATACTAGCTTTCCATTTCTTGCCCCTCCCCAACTTTGGGGGCTATAAAATCTCTGCATTCCTCCCCACACGGGCTTCAGCTTGAGAAGCCGCCTCCTTTCCCAACGCTTTGAGAGGAGCAGCCAAAGTTAAGGGAGCAAGAGGGGTCTTCCTACCTTCCCATTAAAGAATGCTGCCATCCTGGGCATAGAGACAAGAAGATAGACTGTCCTCCCCCCCCCACACACACACAAAGCTGGTATCCTTCTAACCAACATGTTTTCCTCACTTCACATTAGCAACAGAAAAAGCTGGAAGCAATAAACTGAGGCCAACTCCAAGCTGAAAAAGCCTGTTTCTCATGGCAAGAATAAGGAAAGATTTCTCTTTCTATTTCAAATAGAAGAGTCTCCAGATAAGCCCCTCATTAATAGGCCTTTCCTTTGGGTCAGGGGCATCCACGCAGAATCAGAAAAATCAAGACAGTGCTCACCACTGTGCTGTCAAAACTTTACCTTTTTCTGTTTGTTGTTTGTTCGTCTCTCTGCATACAAAAAAGAGACAAGACTTTTATTGCACAGCTGCAGCCATGGTCTTCACTTTGACCTCCCCACTTCCACGGCCGCCCCACTCTGGACGGTTTCCAATTTTTCTTCTCCTTCTAAATTTGCATTTCTGCCACATGCTCTGCCGTCTCTTTCCTTAGCAGGCTTTGTCACTTAGCATCAGCCCAGGTGTTGCAGAGAGAGGTTCAATGGAGTTTAGACAAGGGTATCCAAGCGGTTCAGCCGAGGGGGCAAACAAGCGGAAACGGAGTGTCTGGTCCAACTTCATGGTGTGCAGTTGCTTTTGACAAGGTCAAAATGTCGAAAGTAGGGGGGACAGCCCTTAACAAACCGCTCCAAGCTGACACCAAATGAATCAATTAAGCTGCCGTGCCCGTCTTCCAAAGACTCAGGTATCCAGGGTTGTGTTCTGCAACAGAAGCCAATATTTTTCACACCATTGAGAGAGTTTGAAAAACCCTATTTACTGTTTCAGTGCCAGTCCCCGCCAGGACCTCATCCAAACATAGTCAAGACAATGGCAAGCTTCTAGAATTTCCATTTGAGGTTTTGTTTTGCTTTTAAACCATTCCAGTGCCAGTTGCATTAACTGCAGCCTAGCAGGTAGACGCTGGAGCAATGAAAGCTTTTCCTGGTGTGGAGGGCTGCCGGCTTCTTCCCCAGCCCTGCCTCCTCTGTTTTTGCAACAGAAGTGAACCTGAGACCCATCGGCCACAGGGAGCCTTCTCTCACCACCCTGGGGTTGCTCTGCCAAGATGGACCGCGCATCTTCCTGAGATCTTGACAGCCTCATGGGTTAAACTTCAACATTTTGCTTCCTACTGTTCGAAGGAAGCTCCGAAATAGATGAAAACACAAACTTCTTCATGGGGGCCTAAACCGCACACTAACAGGCGGGTTGGTACAACAGGCTAAAATAGGGTCAAGCACTTTGTGGTCCAAGCTGTGCAAAAACTAAGTATTAGCTGTGTTCACATCCCACGGGCTTAAGTAAATCAGTTACAAATGCGGCTGTTGTTAGGGCAGCTTGATCAGTTCTTCTGTGGATTAGTGTATGATAGGAAAGCCAGACCACTGAACCGGCTTATGGTTCAACGTCTTAATGAATTCATACGGTAATTACGTTAAGAGGGTCATGAGAACACTACTATTATCTTAGCGTGTATTGTGGATCGAGCCAATACATCAAGCCAAAGTATGGTTTATTTGTCTGGCAATAGCATGTTATGTGGGAACTGGGGTTGAGGGGATTGTACAAACCTGGGTTAAATGCCTAACGTGAAGCTGCTTTTGTACAAAGTATGGGGGAGGGGGGGAAGTTCCTAACTGGGGCCAGTACAAGCAGAATGGGGAGACTTCAAACTTTTCTCCAGGAGCCAGCTTTGCAAAATCCCTCTTTCCACCCACACAAGGGGTTAGAAATGAAAAGAAAATAATGGTTTCATGCGCCCATTTTCTGCTGTCGTGGCAAAAATTGTGTGATTCCCAGGCCCTGCCAACGAAGCAGGAAAAGCAAACCATTTTTAACATTCTCTAAGAATACAATTTTCAAATGAAAAGCATTGACACGTGAAGAAATGTGTACTATGTCCTCTCTTTTGATACCTGAATATTTGTTTTAAGAGCATAGATATGGGGAATGAGGAGACTGAAAGGTTGATTTATCTGAATCTGTCTTTCCTTCATATTCATATTGCTCTCCCTCCCTGTCCCACCACGGCCCTGCGAGGTAAGTCCGGCTAGAGAGGGTCCCCCAAGACCTTTATGGTTGAAACTGAGTTTAAATCTCCGTCTGCTCGTCTCTTATCTCCCTACAAGTCTGTTGATGGGAAGTTTTCCATTAAGGCAAAAGAAGACTTATGGCATCCTGACTTTCCTTTGGACTCCACCCAGTATTCTGGAGCATCTTGGTGATAAGCCGTAGGGGCTTTGGACACCTTGGCATCTGGGAAGAGGGACACGGAAGGAAGCAAAGCCAGGCTTTCCCTCCACTCAGCTCTGCTCTGCATAGGACTGATCTGGATCTCCTTCTGTTCTTGGGAATTTGAGTGCACGATTCCCCTTTGCAAAAGACGTCTCTCCTTCTTATTCCCTCTCCATCCCAAGTCACATCTAGGAATCGGTTTCTCTCACTCTTTTCTCCTCAAATGCCATTGCTTAGTTGACTTTTCCATCATTCTTGCTTTCTCTCTCCTCTTTTAAGTTTTTCTTCTACCAAGCTAGCCTCATTTTCCAGGCGTATTATCTTTTCCTACCGATCTGACCATTGCTTTTCTTCGTTCCTTCCTTTTCTTTGTCCTTACGTATTTTTTCTCATCTGATTCAAAACAATTCTCTCAACTGTGTATTCTCTTCATATCTTATATTCTTTCATACTTCCGTTCTTTCATCTCAGTATCTACCCATCTTTTCCTATCCATCTTTAGTTCTTTTATTCTTTCTGCTTTTTACTCCGACACTCTTATCCACCTTTCCTTGACTCTAGCCTTTTTCTTTCCTTATTTTGTTCTTCCTAACTGTCATAATTCCTATACCTTCCTCTACACTCCTCCTTTGTTATTTAAAAAAAAGGTTTTCCCTTCGCTTATCAATTTGGTTTCCTGTGCTTCTTTCTTTTTAAAATTTCCATTGTCAAATCTCCATTTATGCTTGTTATTAAGTCTGAATTCTTTGTCGTTGTTGTTCTGTTAATAAACGTCTTTCTTTTTCATTAAGCAACTACCTACCTCCCCTCTGTTCTGCTAATTAAGTTTTCTTCCCGTTCCATTAATCAACTTCTTTTCCTTCTGCCCTTCCTCCCTTCCTCCCTTCCTCCCTTCCTCCCTTCCTCCCTTCCCTTCCCTTCCCTTCCCTTCCCCAAAGGTGGAAACCATATCGGATTCTGACACTGAAAGCCGAAGCTGTCGAGAGTTCCACTCCATCGGTGTTCAAGTGGAAGAAGATAAACGGTATGGCTGGTTAAACATGCTTCTCAGTCCTTGTGTCTCTTCCCTCACATACACAGGCAGAGGCACGCATACACACACCATGCCACAGTCTCCTGCATTCATGCAAAAAATTGTCAGCGACATTGATCAATATTTGCAGGGCAAAATTTCCAAAGGGATTCAAGCAAGAAATGCTATCGTTAGCTCTTAAGGACAATTTGGTTACCTATGGATGTTTCCAGGCCAAGTCTGAATATAATTGCCCTGTCTTGGGATTTAATGCACCTCAAAAGGCCTCATGCAGTCATTCCGACTTTTTCTAAAAGTCGGAATGACTGCATGAGGCCTTTTGAGGGATTTTGCTAGAGGATATCCTTTTCAGAGGACTCTTGGGGGCTCATAGAAGAAGGCCACAAGCAGAGATTGAGGCTTTGGCTCTTTCTTGCAGGCACCACCAAGGACAAACAGCCAGGGCTTCAATCATGCAGTCACAGCCACATCTTGACTTTTTTTACCCTTTCCCTCCCACAGATGTCCCTGTCCAGAATAGATCAAATGACAACCCTGCAAGGCAAATTAAATCAGAGGTGCACAATTTGAGGCTCCAGGGCCTTTATGACCCACAAAAAGCTTTGAGTGAGAACCTCCAAAGCTGTTACCACAACTTACCTGTAATGTTTGATGTGAAAGATTAAATCTATGGCTAGAGAGTCAGCTGGCAAGCTGTATTTAGAAGTAAATGACGTGAAATCAAATTACAGGTGGCCCTCGCTTAACGACCACTCATTCAGTGACCATTCGAACTTACAATAGCACTGAATGAGTGGTACTTAACAACTGGTCCTCATACTTATGTCAGTCACAGTGTCCGGTGGTCACGTGATCACCATTGGTGACCGTCACTGCCAGCTTCCTACAAGCAAAGTCAACGGGGAAGCCAGCAGGAGATAGCAAACAGCCACCATGTGACATCCTTGCTTAATGACCCATGGTGGTTTGTTTAACAACAGCAACTGGAAGTGCCAGAATTTCCGTCGCTAAGTGGCACAGTCACGTGATGTTATGTTTTACAACTGTGTCACTTAGTGATGGAAATTCCGGTCCAAACTGCCATCATTAAGTGAAGACTACCTGTATACACACTCTTGCATTTAGGGAATGTTGTCCAGTGGCCATGAACATGACCTATTAGGAATTTTGGTTGGGCTGAGTTTGGCATTCCCACCCTGTCTTCTCCAACCTTGGGGGCCATTTGGATCTGTTGGACTTCAACTCCCATCATCCCAAAGTCTAACATGTCTGGTAGACCCAGGGTCATGGACATCTGTGGGAAGGCAAGGAAGGCAAGTGACATCAGAAGTGTCATGATCCCACCATGCAAATGATAGATGGGATACCACAATGGCTATACAAGAAACCTACATACAGGTTTGGGGCAACCTAATACAGAATGGGAATGAGCAAGGACTCATTAGCCTGAGTCCTGGAAGGGAGCATCCTTGACTCTGAACGAAGGATGAGCACCCATGTGCACAAGCCAGAAAGTCTGATTTATAATATTTTGGCAATGACTGATGTCCCCACAGTTCACCACACAGGCCCTTGAATTTCAGAGCACCTAACTAGATATCCCATTTCTTCTTCCAGCGAACAATTGGCCGGCACGTCCTCTGCTGCACATAGTCTCTCTCTCTGGTCCTTTAGCATCCATCCAACACTGGTTGCCATAGAAACAGGCCAGAGAACGGAAGGGAGGAAGCAGGCTGATGCTCACCCAAGAAGGCATGGAATTTGCTCCTGCTTGTTGAAGGCTTCCCAGGCTCTAAGTTCCTGCCTCCCAGTCCCAATAGCTCTGTGGCAGAAAGAGATGTGTATGGCATCCTCAGACTATCACACGGGGTGTGGAAAACCTGTTTCCCAGACTTCCCAATATAATATTGACATGGCCTGGGAGCTGTTGTTACCGAAACACATTTTGAAACTAAAGCTCACTGCTGGATCTTTTCTGCTCCATTGTTCTGAATGCTACTAGCCCAGCTACACTAGTATAGCATATACTAGCCTGGATCACCTTCAGCAGGGCTTGGTTTTAAACCACAAACAATAAGCGAATGGGGATTGCAGTGGCCAAACCTGCTCCTCCTGACTCTACAGATGGGTCCTATTGGAGCCATTGAGAAGGCTGCTCTCCCCTTGGCTCCTGGTGAATCTGGCACCACGGCCAGGCCATTTTGGTAGGCACAGATAAGAGTCCAGGGTCAGCAGGAAGGAAGTGACGAGACATCCATTGTGACATCACAGCACAAACCCCATGACTGATGCATTTGTCTCCAGAAACACAAGTGCAGAAGATCAGTTTGCATCATGACCTCACAATGTAATTTTATCACAGTATTTGCCCCCTCGCCTCCAAAGACTATACCACTGTCACACTTTCCTGCCTTAAAATAATGCAAGAAAAAAAAAGTTTTTGAAGCATCTACCAGGGATGTGCAAAATCAGGAACTTCAGTGACAGATTATTCTGGTTTTCTTCCAGAAGGTACTGTTTTTTGGGTCCCAACGCAGTTCATGCAGTTGCAGAAGTAGATTGGCTGGAAAGGGAAATAGTTCATAGCATTCAGGTTCAGGGATGAAGCACATCTGGAAACCATGAACCACTTCCTTTTCAGCCAGTGAACATCTGGAACTAACCAACCATCTCTGGATTGCACAGATTGGAATATTCCAGGAGAAAACTGACATGTTCCAGAAGAATGATTAAAAAAAAAAAAATCCATGCCAGGCTTCCCATTTTACACATCCATCTCTTCGCACATCCAAAATTTATTACAAATTTTGACCACAAATCAAAAAGCGGGGCTGAGCTTTCTGGCCTCACCCTCTGGTAATGTCACTGCATCACCCCCAGGTTTTCACGGCCCTCGATGGTTGAGAAAGAACTTTAGAACATGCAGTTCACAAAGGCCATGGATAGGAGTGAGAAAGTTTTGTACAATAGGATTGGAAAAAAACAACTTCACGGTCCTAACTCTGTTCCAGGTGAGACAACCCCACGGTCAAAATAAAACGTGCTAAGTGGGCCAAACCTCTCTCCGTTGAATTCCTTCGGGTTATAGAATTCCAGGGAAATCTAACCCTTTCTCCTGATTTTTATTTAATGTTGCTTCTTTTGGACAAGGGACTCAAAAATATCCGCTCCAGTCTCCCAGTTTTGTGCTACCATCTGTACGATACGCCACGCTATTACCTAGGTTTGGCATTTTTTACAACAGTGTTTTATTTTGATCTATTTTAGTATTTTTAGTCTCAACTATTTTAGACCCTGTTTTTCTGAGATATAGATAGATAGATAGATAGATAGATAGATAGATAGATAGATAGATAGATAGATAGATAGACGCATACATACATATCATACATGTAGAAGGATATATTACTACTATTATTAGATATTTTGACTGTATCTGGCCTAAGGGCTGTAATAAACTTGATTGATTGAATCCTTTCTCCTCCTCATCCCAGCCGCGCTCGGTTCAAACGGTCCAACAGTGTGACGGCAGGTGTGCAGGCCGACTTAGAGCTTGAAGGCCTGGCTGGGCTGGCGGTGGCCACTGAGGACAAGGCCCTTCAGTTTGGACGTTCCTTCCAGCGGCATTCCTCCGAGCCCGAGTCCACGCGGCAATATTCGGTCTACAAGACAGTTCACACGCAAGGGCAGTGGGCCTATCGGGAGGACTACCAGATGCAATACGATACGGTGGAAGTACCGCGACAGGAGTCCTGGATGGACCGAGGCTCACGCAGCCTGCCGGATTCTGGCCGAGCATCACCCTGCCACCGGGACGGCGAGTGGTTCATCAAGTTATTGCAGGCCGAGGTGGAAAAGATGGAAGGCTGGTGCCAGCAGATGGAGCTGGAGGCGGAAGATTACGATCTGCCGGAAGAGGGTGAGTCTTCCTGGGGCTAGGAGGTTGGACAGTTCCATCTGCACCACTGCCGGTAGCTGGGTGTAAGCCAAACTGTGGGGCTCTGCTGCAGAACACATTTCGGATGACAAAATTAAGACCTAACTAGAAAAAGAAAGGATTATTGCAATGAGTAGAGTCCAACATTTAGACCAATAGTCCAAATCAAAAGCCATAAATAGATGCTGCATCATGGGCTTCATCTGCTGCACTCACTCTGTTGCTCTCCTTCTGCTGGTATGGAGAGAAAGGGATCAGGCAACACTGCCTGTTGTGGTTCTTCTGTAGCTTCTATTGCTTGCTGGGACTTCATCCTTTGGGGTAAGGAGGTGCCTGTCACAAAAGAAGGACCCCCATCCCTACGTATAACATGTGAATCCTACAGGTGCTGTAGAGGTCAGAAGTGGGGCCACTGCTGAGTTGTGGGCTAATGCCCCCTAATTCCCCTTCTAATGCTGTCCTGTAATCAGTTCCAACAGTGGTGGGGCATCTACTGTAGACACCTAAGAGCCAAAATCAATTGGCCATCATTGCAACCATGTACCATAATGACCAGCTTTATTAATTTTACAATCCTTCCTATTGTAAATGTAAAGCAAGCTCCAGATCTCAAGTGGTCCCCTGGCAAAATGTCCTCAATGTCTTTTAGACTACAGAAAAATATCTGTGAGGGCTATGCAGAAGTAGTCTCTCTTGCATTTGATAAAAGAGAATTTGTTTTTCAAATACCTTTCAAAGGAGAAGAGAACATCCGTGAATTCCTCATGAGTGAAAGGTGACATTCCTCCACTTATTTCATTATTAGGAGGTGCCTGAGTGTTCTTGTCTGGTTTGTAAAACCAACTCTCCAGAGATCTGCTGTCTCCCTGCCTTCCCACGCATTGATTCAATCCCAAGGAAGAGAAACTCTTCCATGGGATTTTTTCAGACTGGAAAGTATGGGACTCCACAGAGGCTTCAGAGGGATGAAAAGATGTGTCACCAAAACAACAGCAGCAATTGTTGCATCCTGTCCCACATCCAATAATAAAGTTAGCTCAGAAACACCTCCAAGACAAACCAAGATATTCTCAAGTATCCTGTGGTAGAAAACAGGAGCCTCTTCCACGGGGTAGAAAATGTTTGAGAAAGTGCATGACAGATTTTGGTACAGCATTCATTTGTACCGTTTTTTTAATAATAATTATTATTATTGCATTATTTCAAGGATGGATAACCTGCTTACTTCTAGAAACTGATAAACCATAAATGTGTGCCAGGAGCGAGGGTTGTACATAGGCAAGGGTATCTGCCAAGGAGGTAAAAAAAGTCAAGATGGCAACCAGATCATGTGATTGAAGCCCTGTCATGCCACCTTGACTTTTCTGTCTCTCACCCACCCACCCACCAAGATGCCTCTGGTTGTAGGAAGTGCAATTCCACAACATTTGAACAGACACACTATCCCCTTTCCTGCTTTGGGTAGAATTGAGTTCACCCACTAAACTAAGCCAGCGTACTACATAAAAGAAAACCCACCCAAGTATTTTATTCATGGTTAGCCTAATTTTTCATAGATTGTTTTGTATCACATAAATAGAAAAGCAGCTGGAAGGTTCATACGGAATTGTATAATAATAGGTAGAATTTTTTTCCATTCCTGGAGGGATTATTCAAATATGCCCTTGATCTCTTGCATGTAACATGGCATCTCTGAAACATGGAAATAGAATCCATGCAGCTGAATGTTCCCCAGATAGCAGCAGGCATAAAAAGGAGGGGATTTAACTCTTAGAGCAATTTAGAGGGGGGGGGATCCTCCTCTGATGTTATTTGCATCTGGAGGAAATCTGCTATTGATGCCACATTTGGGAGCTTTTTGCCCATTGCAAATGCCAGTTTTCAAAAGAATTCACATTGTTTCAACTCCAGTATTAATAAGCTGCTCCCCATGGTCGTTTGAGTTGTCTTAAAAAAAAAAAAAGATTGGCTCTTTAAATGCAGAAACCTGTGCAATGTCATAGCTGATTTGTCATGCAGAGGAACTGTCAAGAAACACTAGCGTAGACCAGACTTCAGACTTATTCCAATAGTTACTGTTTCCATTGATTTTCTTCTTTATCCTGTTTCTGTACAGTTCTTGAGAAGATCCGTAGCGCGGTTGGCAGTGCCCAGCTCCTGATGAGCCAGAAAGTCCAACAGTTTTACCGACTTTGCCAGCAAAATATGGTGAGGGGAACACTTGGTATATAAATAGGTTTTCTTAACATGCCTTCCAAAATTTGGAGTGGTAAAAAAAGTCCAGTTTCCTTCAAGAATTCAGTTTCTGCTGACTTCATGGACATGCCCAGGGAGTTTCTTTGGCAATAATACAGTAGTAGTAGTTTGCCATGAATTTCTTCTGAGTTGGTTAGTTTGACGTCTAACCTATAACCCTGGAATTCCTGGTGGTTCCTTCTTAATTTTCAAGTCCACACAAGGTCAGTCTAACGCTGCCACCTTCTGAGAGCTTGGAAGAAAATAGGGAGTGGTAAAACTTTTCCATGCCACCTGTGAGTTCAGCCTTTTTCCTTGGGCATGATTTTACAGCAGATGCCAAGCTGTCATTGAAAATGCCACATGGCATGCTATACCAGGAATGGGCAAAGTGTTGTCCTCTGGCTATCCTTGAACTCCAGTTCCCAGCAGACCAGGGATGTCCACAGGGGGTGGTCCAAAAGTCAAGATGGCAGCCACGCCAATGCAACTGAAGCTCCACACTAAACCACAGGCCAAGTTTTCATCACACCTTCATGGATGCCAACTTCACATTTTTGACCATGCCCTGCAATCACCCCTGCAGCAGACTGAGCCCACTAAATCTGACTCTGCCACCTAACTCTAAAACTTTCTCCCTTTCATTTTCTCCCTGGCAGGATCCAAATGCTTTTCCTATGCCCACTTTCCAGGATCTAGCTGGATTCTGGGATCTCCTGCAGCTCTCAATTGAGGATGTCAGCATGAAGTTTGCCGAACTTCAGCAGCTCAAGGCTAACGGGTGGAAACCCATCGAGGCCAAGGTAAAAAAGAGGCAGGGGAAGGGGTAAGATCTCAGACTATGGGAAAAACTTACCTGCGTTTCTTTACCTACCCTACTGTTTCTTTTTCAGTCTGATGAAAATAATTTGCTTTTGCAATTTCTGTCCAAGGAGAAAAGAGTTAGATGGACGATGGGTATGCATAAGGCAATGAACAGGTCCATGTGAATGTTCTATCTTGCATTTCACGGGAAGTTCTCTAAGTCAGTGGGCTCCCTGGCTTCCCATCCTTCCAAGGGAAGACCTCCAGACTGGACATTTTCAGACTGGGAAGTACGACCAGCCAGGGAAGCTGCAGACTGATGGATGTGTCACAGAAAACCTCGCCACCAGGAGCAGCCCCCTCCGCTAGCTCCACCAATAAAGTAACAGCCTTACCCTTCATTTGCTCACAAACACAGTATGGCAGCTTGCTGCACTGGGGCCGTTCCTGCGAATTCTGCAGAATGAGAACCCCAGCTTCAACCCCAGAACATCACCCTAATGGGACCAGTGACTCTTCCCCATGAAGATACATCTTCTAAAGATGGGCCAATTTAGGAAAGGAAAAACAAATCAACTCTCAGCTCAACATGCATCAGAGGCTTCCTGTTTCTTTTCTCACAGGTGGCCTGGGAGATTTGCTGAGCATAAAAAAGATGAAGAATCGAGAGAGAGTAATCATGGCTGTTTTCCTCCCCCTCCCTCCCACCCATCTCTGTAAAGCTGTGTTGCTGGCCACAGCAAAATAATTGGGCATTTTTAGTGAATCTTTGTTCTCGTTCATTATATTTTTGAAAAAGAAAAAGAAAACAGCCAGGCTTCCTTAGAATAGAGAGGCAGGGAACAGCTCGAGATCTGGCTAAGGAGCAAGCTCCAGATTTAGTTTATTTATTTATTTATTTATTTATTTATTTTTGCCATGTGTTATGTTTTAATGCATCTGTTCTTCCTCTCTCTGTGTGTATGTGTGTGCATGTGTATCTCAAGCTACTTGCATGCATTCACTCCCAGCTGTGCATATTTCTTTTTAGACTCTTCCAGACGATGGCCAGCGTGTCTGGTTGGCAGGACTGGGCGCTGGCCAAAGCACTATTCTCTTTAGGGTTTCAGCTTTATCACCTCCAGCATGCCAGAAAGTCCATCCTGAACCCAGATCCTTTTACTCAGAGCAGACTTCCCCGTCTTCTATGTGAAGGGTGGGGAAAGCCACTTCAGCTTCTGTTTCTCAGCTGTGTGAATCTGTCGCGTTCAGTTTGTTGAGAGTGGCTTTTATGCCTATGGATGCCTATCTCCCCAAAAGTGGGGGGGGGGGGGGGTGTCAGAGAATTCTTCCAAATAGTGGGAAAAGAATTGGAATTTGGAAAAAAGAATTTTGGAATTTCCAAAAAGAATTCGGAAGAATTTCCAAAAAGAATTTGGAAAAAGAATTCTTCTTTGCAAATAAATAGTCTTAACCTTAATTCATTTCTGTACATGATTTTGATGAACACAGATGCACACGCATGCATCCATTCTCTCTCTCTCTCTCTCTTTCTTCCCCCCCCCCTCATCTATCTATCTGGACTTTCCCTTAATATGCACTCATCTTTTTTAAAAAAAACTGCACTCCAAAATTCAGTAAAGTACAAAGTTTGAATGACAAGGTTTTCCTTTGTGCATTGGTTGCAGAATGTGAAATTAGATTATTTGCAGATGCTGTGAATTTCTCCCCCATCCCTCACCCTTGGGACGGCGATTTTCCTAACTCCCAGAGTTAGGAAAGTCTCAGGAGCTCCAGGATATGGAAAATTGACCTAGTGTGGGAATCAAACCTTTTTTGCTCTTCATTTAGCTGCATGTCTATGTCTCTCCTCCTGCATTACTTACAGCAAAACTGAAGAGGGCCAAAGAGACCATTAAACCTGTCCTGTCAAAGTCAGGTCCCACATTCTCGTTAGAGTAATTCAGTATCCTAAACATAAAGGGGGTTAAGATAATCAGATCAAAGCTTGTCAGGTTCACTTATGCATGAGCCAAAAACGATAATTCGAATGGCACAAAAGCAATCTCTTCAGGGAACCAGCCAGTGTGAAAACACACCCAGTCGGGCCATAATCAGAAAGATTATTGATAGACAACTGGAAATCTGCACTTTAGAGCAGATCAGTCTTTATATCAGAGCATATCTGTGATAGCTGTGTGTGCATAAAATTAGAAATGTGTATACGCACAGCCCTCCTAGGTGACAACACCTAGTCAACCTTGGCTAATCTCAGAAGGTAAGCAACATCAGCTTAACATCTGACACAACGACATAAGTCATGGGTTTGCTATTATTTGCCCCCTCCTTGCAGACACACACATGTACACCCTTTTACGAGGAAGGATATGCCAGGCAATCGGTAAGCCTGTTTAGTTCTCATGTCTTTAGCAGTGTTCCTCAACCTTGGCAACTCTGAGATGTGTGGACTTCAACCCCCAGAATTCTCCAGCCATTTCTAATTGAACTGTGGATCGCCATCCTGGAGTGCTGCAGAATCTTTCTTCTCCTTGGAGGCCACATTTGGTCTTCTAAGAGACCGGAACCTTTCCAAACACAACTCCTATTTAACCCACAGTTGGCTTACCCTTTCTCTCCACCTCTCCTCTCTCTGTCTCCGGCAGGAGGAAAAGAAGGTGCCTCCACCGATACCAAAGAAGCCGCCACGCTCCCGGCTGCACCCGGTGAAGGACCGATCTCTGGACTCTGTGGACCGGCAGAGGCAAGACGCTCGCAAGAGGCTCTTGGCAGCCAAGCGGGCTGCCTCTTTTCGCCAGAGCTCAGCTACTGAGAGTGCCGACAGCATCGAGATCTACATCCCAGAGGCCCAGACCAGACTGTGAGGGCTGGGGCCGTCTTTTCTAACACTGCTCCATGCAGAGCGCACAGCATTCTGGGATCTGCTGGCTGTGTTCCACTGTTTCTTCTGAGGGAGAAACACAAGGATCTGCCCGTCTCTACTTTTTTTAAAAAAGAAAAAAAAAGAACCTCTGAAATCCATGAACTTCATACCAGACAGTTGGGAAAACTGGGGTTCTGACCCTTTCACTCATCACCCTCAGCAGGACTTGGCAACAACCGGCCTATACCATATGCTCTCCTTGGATCCATCCAGACCTTCACCTCCTCCCCTTCCTCTTCTTATCACCTTTGCCTCCTGTTCCATCAGTGGGCATTACCCCTTCCCCTTTTAACCACCCTGGATATGAGCTTTTCTCACTGTCCTGCAGGCTCGGGCCCCCTCCCACCACCCTGTCACTCCACCTCCATGGGTTCTAGGCCCATCAATATTTATATAAAAATATATATGTATATGTACTTCTATAAATATAACCGAAAGGGCAGAAACTGCCCCCAAGACCACAGCTGTGTTTCTGATGGCGAGAGCTTCTCGTCTCCTCAGGAGACCCCCCCCCCTTCCATATCAGCAGCCCCTTTCCCACCACTCACGTGCACAACGCTTACAAATCTCTCTCAGTTTTCTCTCACTCACAAATGTCTCAAGCTGGGAGCATTAGCAAGCAACCAACTCTTACATGGTCGCCAGGTCAACAGGTTGGTGTTTTAGTGGATCTTGGCATATCACAGTGGTTTTCTAAGGAGTATTGTGGCTAAAACGTCTAGGGAAATTTGCAGAGAAAAGGTTCCCTGATAGGAGAGTTCAAAATGTCATTTAAGTTAAAAGGTTGGTGGTGCCTCTCAAGTGACCAATGTCTGATCATAGGTATCAGCAGGGGCCTGTTGCCCAGAAGTTAAGCCATGATTTCACTATTCAAGAAGGTTGTTGATGAGAATCCAAATGAGATCCAGAATAGAGCATCAGTGGTTATAAAGAATCTCTAAGAAGAGCAAGGGAAGTTTCCAGACAGGGCTGTGCTTGTGCAATCAACCTGCCTCATTCATGGATTTTTCCAAGAAGGGCCCCTCCTGAAAATGTCTTCCATTCATAATTCTTCTGTGTTTTCCCAGGGCCAATCTGAGCTTTTCAAAAGAACCAGTGGAAACTCACTAAGGAGGAAAAAGAATGGTTACACTCTCACACTGAGTTGATAGCCCTTGCAGCCTGCCATTTGGAAACTCCCAAATGGCCCAGGATAAATCTAAGACAAACTTCCCCAGGCAGGTGTTTTCTGGATGGACTGGATTACAACTCACAGCATGTTCAGCCACAATGATTTGGTGGATAAGGGAGTTGTGGTCCAGCCCATCAGGAAGGCATCCAGTTGGGATGGGATGAGTTAAAATGATAGCTAGAGGTGCATAGCCCAAAGCAATGAAATATGAGATTTCCCATCTTCAGGGAATCACTCCATATTAACTTGGGTGTTGCAGAAACTATGTTGAATAGGGTGTCCATGGTCTAAGATGCTCACTTCATTTGTATGAGGCACTGGGCACAGTTTGTACTCCTCAGCATTACTTTCTGCAATGTCTGTCCTAGGATAAGATCTTCCTTAACCTGATGTTTTCCAGAAGTTAGACTTCAGTTCCTAGAACTGGAGAACTCCAGATGTGTTGGATGTCAACTCCTGCTGGCCACAGTAGCTGGGAACTTGTGAAGGACACCAGACTGGGGAAGGCTGCCTTAGAACGAAACAAGTGAATGCTGTCCAGCAATTCCACACTGGGAGAAATGATTTATCATGGTGGATAAGCTTATTTAACAGAAGTTCCCAGGCAGAAGCAGTATTCTGACAGCCACTAGTCTAAAGCAAGGAAAACCAGTAAGTCAGTTCATGGATATTTAAAACAGCATCAGTATACAGACAGCGAGGATACTGGTTTTCACTTCCCCCACCACCACCCCGAAAAGACAGGAAAGTCAATGACCAGACCAAGCTGCTGAGGATGACTTTGTGACCTTGTTCCATGAGACTCCCCAGAAAGAATAGCTTGGATTTTTGAACGCTGGATTATTTTGTATGACGGGCTGAGAGCTGTGGGGCTCTCCTAGTTCCTGCATTATAACCAAAGAATGGGCGATACAGAAATGATAGGGAAAAGAAGGACAACTGAGAAGAACCAGTTCAGAATCAGAGGTTAGTTCTGGACAGGGTGGCAACAGGGTGGAATTCTGAGTCAGTGGCACCACTGTGGTCAGAGCAGAGAGACAGAGACCTTAGGCCCTGGTGCCCCAAGAGGAAGGACAGCCTTATTGCCACAGATCCTTGCCTTTTCCTATTCTCAGCAAATTACTAAGAAGGGAGAATAGCAGGAGAGAAGGAAACGGGAATGAGATCCTGGACAAACTAGGATGTAGCTTATCACATTTACCCAAAAGAAAATAACCCTGAATTACCGTCCCTCAAAAACAGGTATAAATAACAACCACAAAAATGCAAATCTTAAACAGATGCCAAAATTCTGTTCATTCCTCAATGTCCCTAACTTTTCAACAAAGAGCTACTAATCCCATTGAATGGAGAACACCAGCTTGGGCAAAGTAGCATTAATTATTTTCTGAGGTGCCCTCCAGAAGTATAAAGTTATAGCTCCTATCATTCCCAGCCAGACACAGACCAAACCTTCTGGAGATCACCAGCAGATCCAGGAAGGCTGTGCTGGCAGGCCCCAGATGTTTGGCTGCATCCCCATAATGCTTTAAGTTGCTTGCTGGAATACCCCATTTGCTTGGTTTCTGCAGCATGTTGAACTAAACTAACCCAATGACCTGGGTTCGCCCAACACACTAAGCCACCACAACAAAATGTGAAAATTCACCAAGCCTAATGTGTTGTGTGAATGCATCTGCAAAGTGTTAGGACTTAGTGAGGCTTTTCATGTATACACAACCAATGGATAGACTGTTCTAGAACAGGTCAGGCATTTGCTACCCGTCTCTCAATTGGAATTGCCACGGTTGCCAAAAGGAGTTACCAAAAACAAGTATTTCAAAAGGAGCGACATGCATAACCATAAATGTCATCCCTCTGCACTTGGTTTAGCACGGCAAAAACCTCTGCAAGTTTTTTGGACGGGGAGCGCAAATAAGATGACTTCACCATGTTTAAAAAAGGGTTATCAGGCAAGACAACTCTTAACCTTTTCTACTGACTTCCAAAACCAGTTCAAATTTTGGAAAGGAGTCCAAAAGTCCTCCTGGGCTTATTTCAGCTTTGAATATATCCCTTTTTGGCCTGACAGGATATCTCCCAGGATTACATTTATTTGGGTTTCTTATACTCATACAACCCTGCAGAGTAAATCACATGTTGCACTAAGCCATAATATAATTGGTTTGCTTTCAGCTTAGTGTTATGAAAAAGATGAAAGAAAGAGGGTGTCCCAGGAACAGTTGTTGGTGCTGGTGAAGGAGAATAGCAAGGCAGAAGACCAGGTTCAGTATATATCACAAAGCTCAGGAAACTTTTCTGGTGCCCAGTCAACCCCTCAGCAGATATTACAAAATGTCAATGGCTGAGATCTTCCAAGAGTGGGACATCTCATGAGGTTCCTGAGATTTGAACCACGAGATTCCCATGAACTTGCACAAGACAGTGGTGTCTTACTTGACATCTTGCATGACCTCAGGTAAGAAAACCAGTTTTGTGAAATATATGGGATTCATAGTATCTATCCAGGACACTAGCATTATGTGTCATGGACTCTCTGGTTCTCATAGCCGTCATGTTGGCAACTTCTCACATATAACAGGAAAGCATAGAGCCTGATCATTTGACCCAGCTTTTCTTAACACCCCCCTTCCTTCCTTAACATCCACAAGAGCCGGGGGAAAGTTCTGGGATAAGTTATTCATCTCTGGCCCCAAAGCATCGTCAGACACAGATGCAAATATTGTCTGACACATCAAATAAGGGAAGATAACTGAAAAGGTAATTAGGAGCCATGACTCATGCACAGACAATATAATCTGATGAAATCAGGTGGTTTTTCCACTCCTGTCTGTCTGATTCAGACTAGGACTTTATTTCAATAGGAATATACACAAAATGAATCAGGGGTTAACCTGTTTTGGGGTGCCGTACTGATGGCAGCCAAAAACCTAGAATAGGCCATCCTGATTCTGTGTTGGACTCTGTAGAGACCCTAAGAATTTTGCAAAACACAAAGACTCGCCTACATCTCACTAACCTACATTGGCCCAATATAAGATATATTACCTATTCTGCATCTTTCATGGTTCATTTTTTGAATATATCTGTTAGCAATTCAGACTGTATACAACAAGCAAATCAATATTTAAAAAGGAAACCATCTCAGTCAATAAAGTATACTCTTCATTTATGTATATAGAGGGAAGATTATAATCCCCAGTTTTATATATTTCATATTCTCCATGTCAAGGTAGATGGCAGTACAGATTCTCAAGCCAACATGCTGAGAAAAAGGGAGTGACAGACAGTATGAATGTCTGGTAGTAATCTCTGAGGGGATCTAATTTTTGGCACGTGCTCTGTTTCCTCATATTCATAATTTAAGGGGCAATTCAGTGTAAATCAGTGTGCCACACACAAGCAAAGCTACTGAAAGCTAAATGGTGAATTAGTAAACCACAGTTTAACCAGGCATCTTGCACAAACTCAGCTAGTGCAATCAAAGTGCATGGCTTACTGTGCCATGCAGACCAAGAGAGGTGGGTTAGTTAATGATGGATAAGTGTGTCACACAAGTACAGCACTATATATATATATATCTCTTGGGTGGCCAATTTTATTTCTGTCACAAACCAGAGCCTTTAATGTAAATTTCAGGGCAAGCAACTAAGTATCACTTCAGGGATGTTCCTAGGGGGTGGTCAAAAAGTCAAGATGGCAGTCATGATGGCGCGATTGAAGCTCTGCTTGTTTTTCATGTGCCCCAAGATGGCTGCCATCTTGATTTT